GTGAGCCATGCGGAAGCGCTGCCACAACGACCTGTGCAAGGAGGTTTGCAGAGAGCCCGGAGCTGAAGTCGGCGAGAGAGAAGGAGCGTAGCTTAGCGATAGGGTAGAGGCAGCCATAGCTGCCATAGCTGTAGCCTAGTGTGAGGTATGTGTGTGTGTGTGCGAGTGTTCAGAGTGACGCGTGTGGGATATCCAGGGTGATCCAGGGGTATGTGAACAGTGAGTTGTTTGGGCGCTGAGTCGCCATAGCCTATTGGAAGTGAACTCGTATCTGGATGCCATATCTCTGAGTTTTGAGTGGGCGCATGTCGCCAGTTTGCTGCGCTACTGTTTACATGCATGAAAAGTGTGAATGAGAACAAGTCTGATTTCATTACGAGAAGTCACTACAGAAAAGAGAGCGCCAGATTTGAGTAATCAAACTTCTTAGAGGACTGTCGAAGTATGGAGGAGGGAATGCGAGGCTGAAGGCCTCGATATGCCCTACTGGGCCCTATTTTCAGTACAGTCGGCCGCCCTAAGTGAAGGCAGGCTCGACCCAGGGCCTACAGGCCTATTTTTGGGGTCACCAAGCAACTGGGTAAAATTCAGGCAGTTGCGCTGCGCCAGTTGGTTGAGAGCGCCCAGGCCCAGGCTGCCTCTTTCGAATGTAACCGAGGCAGGCCCTGGGCCAGATTCGCAACATGGACCAAACACAGGCCACGGGCAGTTGGACACGGGCAATGACCACAGGCCCAGGGCCTGATTCGTTTGGACTGGGGCTCAGCCTCTCCGGGCCTACCGGAAGCTTCTGGGCAGGGGCCCAGCGCAGCCAGGCTGCATGCAAGCAGGCAGGCCACTTCCATTTAGGCAAGTGCCTGCCCATGCATTCGGCATTCGGGCACCGGCTGCGTGCTGCGCAAGCTCTGCTGCAATAACGCTGGCCAGCGCTCACGCGCTCACGGGCGAGATGGAAGGAGCAGGCAGCCATAGCCGAGCTGCGCTGCTGTATGCTGGATGGGGCGCATGGTGGTCCTTGGGTGCATGTGGCATATGTGAGTTGGGGATCGAGGTTATGAGTGAGGCGAGAGACATACCTGGTGCTTGAGGCAAACGGCATTGGCCGAGATCTGCTCGTACTTCGGGGAGCTGTTGACGTCATCAGCGGCATTGTAGATAGGCTAGATAGGATCTGCCATTTGTAGTCTGGGCGCCGAGCGCCAGATAGGATGTTGACATGGTTCTTTGTTGATGATGATGAGACTATTCTAACATTGTCACTTATGAGCTTTTGCTGTGCTCTTATTTGGTGGGACTCATGATGCAATTCTGCTTTTGGTTCGAGGTCACGACTGTCTGGCCTCATGTGTATGATGCTGCTTGGTTTCTGAAGTTCGCTATCGCTCATTTTCCTTGCATATAAAGATTCTGTATTTGTCAAATCCAGAAACCAGGAGAGAGAGAGAGAGAGAGAGAGAGAGAGAGAGAGAGAGAGAGAGAGAGAGAGAGAGAGAGAGAGAGAGAGAGACCGGTGTAAAGCCTAAGAGCTGAGGATTGTGCGCACACACACATTGAAATGCATGGTCCAGACATGCAGCATGACAGAGACTTAGGGTGGCCACCACAGTAGAGCAGAAGCAGCTAGGAGAGTTATCAGACAAGTGCAATAACCCACACTGTTTTCGGTCTGAGAATATTCGTTTTTTTGCTGAGAATGGCCCTTTTATTATGAATCAACGTCTACTCTTGATAAGCAGTCCAGGTACTCGCCACACTCATCTGTCCATTCGTGCTTTGATCTGGGCCTCAGAGAAGGACGTACCTGGAAAGGTTGTGCTTGGGTACAGCAATGGCTGCATCGATTCTTGGGCGGACATGTCGCATACCTGAGGGGCTGAATTTGAGCTCCAATGGGGATTTGCACGCAATTTGGAAGCCAAGAGTGGTAGTAGGACTAAACTTGGCGCATGGTAGAGACACATAGAGTAAGGTAGGTCGCACAGGGACAGATAGGTGAAATTGCAGGGACTCGGTAGGGATCTTACCCTGCAACTTGGAGAGGGTTTGGGTTCGATAGTCCTAGCAGTAGATGTAATGACGATATTAGAGCAACTGTAGACTGGCGTGAAATAAGGGCTACAATCTGCGATGATTTTTCCCACCTTTTCAGAAGGTCCGTGAACCCGGAGGCAAGGAGGCTAGGGCCCACAGCCACCAGCGAAGGATCAGCTTGGCCGTTGGACCTACTGACACAGCCATTGTATCGCATAGGTTGTTGGTCCTGTCATTCAGGGAGAGCAATGGAGCAGCCCATGGCTATAGAGGTTGGAGTAGGAGGTCGACGAAGGAGGTTGGAGTAGGAGGTCGACGAAGGCTTTCACTACAGAGATGGGCATTAGTGCCCATTTGGGCATGTAGAGGATGGGGAGGACGTCAGTCGACCGAGAGGAGAAAACAGAGGAGAGGAAGTGCGATGAAGGGTTACCTCTTGAGGTGAGTGTGGAGCAGCCCTTGGCTATGGCGGTAGGGTAAGAGGTTGAAGAAGGCTTTGGCTATGGAGATGGCCATTAGTGGGCATCTGCGGCGCATGCAGAAGATGGGGAGGACGTCCGTCGACCGGGAGGCGAAAACAGAGCAGAGGAAGTGTGGTGAAGACTTGCCTTTGGCTATGGTGTCGTATCATCTTCACCCCATGCATGGGCTACATCAGGAAGACCCTTTAGGTGTTTTGGAGCGGAGACTTCCCCCACGAGAGTGTTGAATCTCATGACACTACTGTTGAGGAGAAGGGCTCTCCAAATCGCTTGAGCGGGTGTGAAAGAAGGGGGTTCATTCTGAAGAACATTTGCTAGGGAGATTGATCGAACATAGACTCTTCATTTAGTCTTGTATTCTATTGTTATTGGTGAAGAAGATGGGATCAGGCTGATGGTGTGGAGGCAAGCTGAGGGAGAGTTGACATTGAGACTATTCTTGTACTCTTCTTCGAGAAGCGGTTAACAGAGCCGTGAATTTACAGGGTTTTTTCATGGAATGTTCAGTGTTTTTTCATGGTCCTATACTAGGCTACCAGCCGGCCGCCCGGGTCACCAATGAAGGTCCCAGCCAAAAAAAAAAAAAAAAATCCAAAAAATCCGAAAAAAAACATATGTTATGCCGAAAAATAAACTGAACAACTTTTGCCTCAGGGTCACATCGAAAGTCTTTACCAAATTTAATTCGAAATTAATTTAGTAATTTTATTTATTTTTATTTTTTTATATCTTTTTGGCCCGGCCGGGCAAGTGGACCCGGGCCACGCTGGTAGCCTAGGTCTTATAAACTTGTCACCAACCCAAGGAGTGGACAAAAAAAGACGCCAACAGCAAAAAAAAAAAAAAAAAGCAAAAAAGAAAAAGAAAGGAGCCTCAAAGTTGGCTCAAACCCAAAGGCAAAAATGTGTTTTCAGGCTTTTCCGGATTTTCAGGGCAGAAAAGGAGAAATCACCTCGTCAAGCAGGCCCCGCCGAGACATTTCGGCAAAAAAAAAAGATAAAAAAAAAGGAAAAAACTTCAAAAAGGATTTTAAGGGCTTGCCAAAACAGTTAAAAGGGCCTTTACCCGATATAGGCCTCAGGCCTTGTAAAAATAAAGCAGCACGGGTTTTGAAAAGGTAAAGCATTGTGAAAAGGTATCTCGCCAGGGCTCAGAAACGTGAAAGCAGGTCAAAGGTCAAGTTCTCTATCAACAGGCACATCTAAGTCTAAGGCAAAGGGTATTGTCAAAGGACTTACCTGTTCACCAGGATCTGTGTATGTCGTTCTCTGTTCGGGTAAGAGTGTGTCTGTACGTGCAGGCAGTGTACCTGTTCGTGTAAAGGAAAGTGCCTGTTCAAGCAGTAAATGTGTCTGTTCGTTGAGAGTTGTGCCTGTCCGAAAGTAAAGTCAATAGGCACAGTCCCAGTTCTGGTCTAAGTCAAGGGGTTGGTCCAGATCCAGACTTTCAAGTCCAAATACAGGCCGAGAGGCCTCAGCAGCAGTTGAACTTCAGTGGGACTCTACTGGGACACATGCAATGCAGGGTCTGGGACAAAGGACAGGCCGAATTGAGCTAATGCAGACCCAGTGAGGAGTGACCAGCACTATAAAGGAAGCTGCTTGCCTCATTCCTCGCCAGATCTCCACTGGCTGCAATGCATGGAAGTGCTGGTGCACTTGTGCGCTGAGTCAGGCGGAACAGCGCTGGAGGTAGAAGATGCGCTGAATGCAGGAAGAAGCCTGTACGTTGGAGATGACGCAGCCATATCTGCCCAGCGAGTTAGCATTAGTAGTAGTGGGTTAGTATGTAGCTATGAGTAGTATTCAGAGTAGATCCTCATGAGTGAAGGGTGTGTATGCATTGCAGGAGGAAGGGACTGAGGCTTAGAGTGTTCATTCAAGGTTCGGCTATGGAAGATACTTACCTGAGTTGGATGTGACCTGCAGAGGTGGCGCTGATGAGTAGTGACCACATTGATGACTTGGAGACTATCTGCAGGAGTAGTGCTGATTCACTGGAAGTCATAGGGATGAGTTGACAAGAGATTGGGGTTGCGCTGATGAGCGCTGAACTCAGGGGAACTTTGAAACACTTTGTATTCATATTTCTGATAATATAAGCTGTGAAACTCGGTCCTCTTCTTCTCTACCTTTGTCTATGGTTGAGACTATTGATCACTGCGTGTGAAGATGATGCATGACACAGTCATCTCCAGGGCTCCAACAAACACCAGAGTTGGCACACACAAACCTTGACCAAAAATCAAACAGGGCCTTTTTTTTTTTTTTTAAGAAAAAAAATCAAAACAAAACAAAAAAAAAACTGAAAAAAAAATCCCCCAATGCCCTGTTAATCACTTGTGTCTTCTTCTTAACTGGTGATCCCGGGCATGAGCATACATTTAATTGTATGCATCCCAAATATTCAGCAGTGCAAACGACTTGAAAGTTGAAACCCACCTCATACGAGGTGGGGATGGATATCATCCACTTTGGCATTTTCTAAATTTTCCTTTCTATTTTGTTTTTCGAGCGTGACACTATCCTGTTCTGTTGTTGGCGTACTGGCAACAACGAGTCCGACACGAGAGAACTACAGCTCACTACTTCACCTACAACGATACCTGATCGGGAGGACAGTGGGTGCATGCCACCACCTGAGTAATAAACAAACTCCGCTGAGAACTTCGGCACAGGCTGACCCTTGCGGAAAACCGGCCCCTCCTCCGTTGCTTCTCTGTCGACGGGAAATATGTATTGCAGCTATTGCTTGTACATGTGGATTTTTATCATACACATGTCTTCCGAAGCAGCCATGCTAAATCCGACCCGGTCAGACGTTCGGTAATGGGCATCTGTGATAGGTGTGCGGCAAATCTTAGAACGAATGAATGAATTCAATGACAACACTCTGATCGATCTATTGGCGTGATAGATCTGTGCTTTTGATCCACTATCTCAACTCTCGAATGCAGCACAACGCACTTCTTGGCTTCGCCTGCAAAGATTTGTGGAGAAGATGACCTGAGGAAATGGGCAAGGATACCAAATGGTCTACCGGTAGTAGCTCAGTTGCTAAACCCCTGAACTGTTGAAATACAGACCCGTGTTCGAACTCCACTGGAAGGAGAAGGGTAAGGGTGTTACCCCCAGCTATCCCTTATCATGCTCTATTGTCGTGCCCGTCACTGTTTGAGTTGAGACCCGCTTCCATGACTTGACCTGGGGATGACGCAAGTGTTAAGTACCAAGCAAGAGGGAGGAAGGATTGCGGAGCAGTCAGTGTCCGTCCCAGTACCCAAACTGGAAATATTTCCTACCCTCGAAACCACCAATGATAGTTACCTATCACAAACTGTACGGGATACCGGGGGGGGGGGGGGGAAGGGTCACTGTGCTCTCCTTTTTCTGAGCCCTCAGGATTCGAACTCTTGATCTGTTTACGATTCAGCCATGTGGGGGAGGACCCATGATGATTGTTATCCGTGGGTAGTCCTGTGTACCATCAAGCCACATGGACTGGGGAGGAGTCCGTGTGCTCGATAGATCAGACACTCACATCTGCTCTCATGAGGAGGGAGAGTCCTTACCTTACACGAGGTTGTGAGCGATACGGAGACTACCCTTTCCACTTTAGGAAGGAGTGAACATGGCTGAACTTTTTGTACGGTCATTCTAAGAAGTTCTAGTACGACCCTGTCCTGGAAGCATGATACTCCCAGTGGACACTTTTCGTTCTTCCCAGGTTTCAGAGTAATGAGGTACGACAGTAATCATCATATTGTGCTGCAATGAAGAATCGAGGGAAGAGTGAGGACGCTCACCAGAGTGGATAAGAAGCCAGGGCCATAAGGGCCTGTTTGGGGGGAAAAAGAGGGAAAAAAAAGAGGAGGCCAAAGATTGCCCACCTGCCTGCAGGGAACTGACTGTTGCCGAAGATGGCCCAAGCCGATCCCAATCAGGAACATTATGGCATGTGCCAAGCATGCAAGTTGGCCCATGGATTGAATGAAGCTTAACTGACATGGAGGCTGTGAGATCTAGTTGCGACACAACTTTGATTGTATGGCGACAGGCCCGATTGTCTGATGCAAGTTGATTGCATCCATGATTGCAGGCTCAGATACAGCATGGGAAATCCAGCACTGCATGCAGAAACCGGTGTCGCGACTCTACGGCTCACGACATGCCCAGTGCACTGGCAAGTGACTGTGGTTGAAGCGGAGAAGCAGGATCGTCACAGAACCTGCTCTGCAGAATACCTGCCTAGTGCACTGGCGAACGGCTGTGTATAAAGGTGAGAGACAGCACTCCCTCTCTACAAACGCGGGAGTTCGTCAGACAAGCTCTTGCCAACCATTTGCTGGCACCCAGTAGCGCGTGAACTGCCTGTCTTCCCTGAGCCTGAAATCGCCCGAGCAGTGCAACGGGTTATCACAGAACCTGCTCTGCAGAATACCTGCCTAGTGCACTGGCAAACGGCTGTCTATAAAGGTGAAATTCAGCACTCCCTCTCTACTTGCGAGAGTTCGTCAGAGAAGCTTCTCTGCAGAATACCTTTTGCCAACCATTTGCTGGGACCCAGTAGCACGCGAACTGCCTGGCTTCCCCGAGCCTAAAATCGCCCGAGCAGTGCAACGGGTCGTCACAGAACCTGCTCTGCAGAAGACCTGACTAGTGCACTGGCAAACGGCTGTGTATAAAGCTGACGGACAGCACTCCCTCTCTACACGCGAGAGATCGTCATAGAAGCTGCTCTGCAGAATACCTCTTGCCAACCATTTGCTGGCACCCAGTAGCACGGGAACTGCCTGTCGTCCAGGAGCCTGAAATCGCGCAAGCAGTGCAACGGGTCCGCGGCTCATCATCTTTTCTATCCTATCCTACATCTTGCTCCATCCAACAGCTGCTCCTAAGGATAACACATTAGCCACAAGAGATACCATTTTTTTGAAAACCTGGTCAAATCTGGCCGATCCTCCCTCAGGCGTGCACTGCCGCTGAAAATTCATGAAAATCTGTCATGATCCGCAAGCCAATCCCCTCCTCTGTCCCTCTTCGTCGCTCGAAAACATCATGGCGTGCTCATTCATACATAGGCACTTCTTCGTTTCCGACCAATGTGCAAGTGAATAGAAAGGTCTTTAGCAGGTTCACAAGCCAGAGAGATGGTTCGGCTGTGAGTGGAAATGGCGGCCGAGCATGGAAAGAAAGCCTTCCATTCCGGGTACTTGTCAATCGTCTGTTTCAGATTCACTCCATGGAATCGGTGGAGCTAAATTTCACCTTGCAAAAGGGGATACTGCATCAGTCGAGCTACAATCGAATGAATGCATAGCAGTGGCTGTACCCCATGCAGCCCAGACCTGTACTGTACAGCAATTTACCCAAGCGAGGGATGGATAAACACATGGATGGATGTAAGAGCTTGGATGGATTGCGATGCGGCAAAGGAAGTCACTGCTTGACATCCAGAAAAAAAAACAGTTGTGTCCCAGAAGAACCACAGCTGTGTGCCATGTCTGGATCGCAGAGCCTGGGAACGGGTAACGTCCCCTGTGTGGCGTCCTTGAACATCATACAAAGCACACTGTTCCAGCGATGGCGCTGGCCGCCGCGAGGATCATCATAATCCAACAAAGTTGTGAGCGAGGCAGGGGCACGCACCGTTGCCGAGGGTAACGGATACCGTCCCCTCTGCGCTGTCTATCATCTTCTTGCTCTGCTTCCTGCACTGAGAATCCGGGCGGGATCGTAATTTTGTTCGTAAAGAAAGGTCATCCCTTGACACCGGTGTACTGAATCTACTGATAGGATTTGAAACCTTTACCTGCTAAGCATGAGTTTTCGGCACTGCACTATGTAGGGATAGGGACCAAGGTGTCACCCAAAGTCCCACTGGTTACAAAACAGGCATACTCATGCTTACTATGTAGGGATAGGGACCAAGGTGTCACCCAAAGTCCCACTGTGCCTCAAAAGAATACGGTGCCACCGCGTCATGAAGACAGAGGGTGAGTTGCTTCACAATCAACGTCAAGACCACGGTCACCTCGCTTGCACGGGGCATTCTAAAATATCGACGTCTGACCTTTATGTTGATTGGCACCAATACCAAATGAATTAAAACATACAAATGGAAACAGGACTTACAGAAGTAATATCCGGGGTTCTTCCTGTCGTCAAACAAAGCTGGAGATCTGGTTCAACCAGTAATGCGTCCCTTTCCTTCAATGCTCATTTGCTTCTGACATAGCATCCAAGCATCAAGTGGCTTCTGAACGACCAAGTTCGCCGATACCAGACACACCCACCTCCTGCCTCCTCCCTTTCCCCCTTACATCTCCTCTCCCCATCCCTCTCCTTGCCCCCAACTTAATTCCTTGCCCGCTCCGAAGCACGACATTGGAGGGCCGAGACAAACGGTTCACGGAACAGAAACCGTTCGCTCTCCTCTGCCAACCTCCTTGTCCATAATACATCCTCAGCACAACAGCACCCACCCCACTCCCTCCCCTCACAGGACTAGATTCAACTCAAATTCAAGAGTTGTCCCTCCGCTTGGCCTTCTTATGAGGTCAGCATCGGTCACTTGAACTGGCGTGATCTCACCTCGTAGGCCTAAGGCACAAAGCGTGTCAAAGTGGGGCGGACGGCCATTCGTTGCCGTGACTCCTTGCTGATGATTGATCCCAAGTCACCCCAGCAGCAACCAGGACTATCAGCTTTCAGAGTCGTCAATGCAGCCCCGTTGGTTTCTAGCTTCCTCATGTTGAATGCTTGGAGTCGTTCACAAGCAGACACTAATTTTGTGCCACCCAATCATGCCGACTTCCAATCGACAAACAAGAACTTGATAGCAGAGACTGCCAATGTCCTTTCCGTGTCAATTGTGCAGTCCATGCCGACGTCTGATGGACAAACAACCGGATTGCAGAGACCGGGAACGTCCTTTCCTTGGCACTTTTGTAGATGAACTAACTGCTCATAGTTGGGGTAACTCGTCAAATAAGTTGAAATAAATAACGCAGAAAAACAATGACATGATTGATATCATAATTCGGTGGCAACCAACCGGCAACCTCAGACCAGTCACAGTCAGCATAGGGATCATGTTAACCCTCCAAAGTCCTGCTGTTCCAGCGCGTTTGACCCTAATCAAATCTAAAGAAGGAAAAGCAAATCGGGAAGAAGAAAAGCGCAAAAAGGAGAAAGTTTCGAGAAACACTAAAATAGACAAATGCTCTGACCCATTCCGGCCTTTCGGCTGTTACTGATGTGTCAGGAACGATTACCTAGAGATCAGGCCCCCAAACTACCGTCACTAGCCAAGTAGTTGCCAAAAGACAGACCACCAAACAACAAACTGTTGAATAAACTGTTAAAGAACGGCCAAATAATTTATCCATCCACCCATTTCCACCATCTTTATCATCATGCTACGCTTCGCTGATGCCATCGGGTGTATACTCTGCTTCAGCAAGTTTCGTCATGACCGGATGGATGAAGGAAAGAGATAGACACTTTGTCATCAAGAATCGGCAAAAGAGAAAAACCAAGTATGCTAATCCACATCTGGCAACTGAAAATGAGGTAAGCCAACTGCACTCCTGTATCGCATGCCTTTCCTTCAACTAAAATGAGTCCTCTAAAGCTCATCTTTTCAACTTCTGGTGGATGTAAGTTTGAAGAGGGGCTCGAGATTGGGTGAACTGCTGAACTGATGTCGCTGCTAGGATAGAGTGGAATCATTGTGTTGTGGGACACTGAAGTCTGAAGGGCAACAAGCACTGACCCACGCCCATTTGCCGAAAAAAGAGTCTTCGCCTCACTTTTTTCTGTGTCTATCTGCCTGTTTTTCCCCCCTATCAGTCAGCCTTGTCTTTCTGTCTGTCTATCTGTGTGTCTGTGTGTCTGCCTCTCTTTCTGTCTTTCTGTCTGTCCGTCTGTCTATCTCCCCTCCCCCTTGTGCCCCGATCCTCCACCCTCTTCTCTCTTTTTGCTCACCGCTCCTTTTCTGACTTATATACGGTTATACAAACTTATACCTGTTTGCCTGTATGTTCCTAGTATTGACTCTATCTGTATGTCTGTGTCTGTCTGCTTGTGTGTTTGTCAGACTTTGTCTGTTTGTCTATCTGTCTATCTGTTTGTCTGTCCGTCTCCCTTTCTGTCAGTCCGTCTGTCCGTCTACCTGTCTGTTCGCCTGCCTGCTCGTCTATCTGTCTGGCGATTCTCTCTCTCTCTCTCTCTCTCTCTCTCTCTCTCTCTCTCTCTCTCTCTCTCTCTCTCTCTCTCTCTCTCT